CCCATATCAGCACAACTCTGAAGTATTGTGACAATAGTAGCTTGGTCAGGATAAATCCCAGCTCTCCGCATTAAATTAAAATACAAAATACTCTTCTCCGAAAGGCCACTTTGAATGTGAATCTTAATGATCGAGTTCCATGACACTAAATTTGGCAACTTTATMGTCTCAAACAACCCAGAAGCCTCATTCAAATACCCAAATTTCCCATACATGTTAATAAGAGAATTCAAAACTTTTGTTTGTGATATTAAACCATTTTTTACAGCAAAGCCATGAATATAACCTCCCTCCAGAGTTCCACAAGCTGAAATTAACGATATAAGGGTTATCTCATTGGGGTTCATCCCATCCTCTTGTCTCAACCTATAAAATGCATTCAAGCTCAAACCCACATCCCCCTTTTGAGAAAATGAGGAAATAATCGAATTCCAGGATACCAAATCCTTGTGAGGAATTTCATCAAATAGGTTATGTGCATCCTTAATGCATCCCAATCTCGTATACAGTGAAACCAATCTGTCACCAATGAACCCATGATTGTAATTTGAGCACTTAACGACTGTTGAATGGATCAACTGACAAATGGATATCGAAGAACATAAGCTTATAGACCTTATTACGGACTCAACAAGTGAACCTGAGCTACGCTGAGCTTGAGAAGTACAATGATTACAGAAAGCATTATACAATCTTTGTGGGTCACATGGATTATAAAGAAATCTAGTTTGAGATTTTATCATGTACCTCAAAGCTTCGAATTTGAAGTGTGAAGAGCAGATCGACTTGAGCAAATGACAGCAAGTACAGTAAGTCCAAGACAGCATCTCCCATTTTTAGGAACATGAAGTGTCTCCTTTTTAAACTCATTTGTTTCAAAATCAACATTTTAATATATATATATATATACCAGTACAGTATTTACAGCAAGTACAGTAAGTCCAAGACCTTATTAGGGTTTTTTTCTTTCTTTTCTCTGTGGCCAAACCAATATATATATATATATATATATATATATATATATACCAGAAGAGTACTCGTGCAATGTAACGAGATATATCTCAATTTTAATGTTCAATTTTATTATTTGTCTTTGTCGATGTTATAATACAATTTTATGTGATTTTAAAAAAACAATAATGATTTTATTGTTTTATTAAAATTTAAATTTGAAAAAAATATATATATCAATGTTAATATCAAATCAACTATTTAAAAGTTTTCGTTTTTTTATGTAATTTCTTTAATTTTTTTTATATTATAATTTAGTTTAAGTTTAATAACAAAATAATTTATTTTTG